GGCATGTGCCCTACACCTGGAATCGAACTGGCAACCTCCTAGTGCAGTGGATGATGCCCAACCAGCTGAGCCACAATGGCAACCCCCCCTTTTTAAAAAAATACATTTTATTGATTTTTTTACAGAGAGGAAAGGAGAGGGATAGAGAGTTAGAAACATCGATGAGAGAGAAACAGCGATCAGCTGCCTCCTGCACACCTCCTACTGGGGATGTGCCCGCAACCAAGGCACATGCCCTTGGCTGGAATCGAACCTGGGACCTTTTCAGTACGCAGGCTGACGCTCTATCCACTGAGCCAAACTGGTTAGGGCGGCAACCCCTTTTTTAAATCTTATTTTTTCCTTCTGAAAATTAACCACATATTTTAAAACAATATGCTTTTTACTACTGTTCTTTGATTATGCAATTTTAGAAATTGTTTATTGATTTTCTACTAAGAAAATATTAGGATTTTGCTTTTTTAACAACACATGTAGAGACTCATTTCCTTTCTTCTAGACTCCTAGTACTCTTCTTTCATCATTTTAATTAAATCAAGTCAGTGTTCATATTATTATGACTAATTGTTTACAGCTCAGCAATGTAATGCACTGTGATTGCATCTTTTTATTCTTCCCACCTTCCCTCTTTACCAGAGTTTACAATCACACTTTTGTTTGCTCGCTTAGTTCTCCAAATCCTCTGACAAGAGCTAGAAAAATAAAATCGGTTAAATTAATTGGATTATCTGATTCTCCTCCCCCCCCTCATCTATCCCTCTTGGAGCCCTCAGTCCTGCTGCGCCCATTTGCACTAGAAGCTTGGTGGGCTGGTTGCTGGGACATCCCTTTGCCATCCACATGGGAGCTCCGACTTCTCTCCCAGGTAACTTTTCCTAAGTGGTAAGGAAATTCTTTGAGACCTAGGATGCAGGAGGGCTATTTTACATTTACCATTTTCACATGGGCACCCATCCATCAGACCACAGCCACAGAAACCCCAGGGTGACAGCTCTGCCTGCCTGTCCTGATTTCACCCTCGCCTTGATTCACGGTTTGGCTGGGTGGGGATTTCTAGGTTGAGGATTATTTTCTCATGGAAGGGGAAGACATTGCTGGATTGCCTTGCAGTTTCCAGCTTCCAGTGTTGACCCTGCAAAGTCCAATTGCTGCCTGGATTCCTGATCCTTGGTTTGTGAACTGGTTTTCCTCTTTCGAGAACTTTTGGGATCCTTTTATTGCTGGGGTTCTAGCATTTATAATGATGTACTTTGGGAGAGGTTTTTTTTTTTTCTTCTCATTTATTGTGTTGAGCACACACTAGGGCCTTTCCATAGGGAAATGCAAATCTTTCATTGTGGCAAATTTTGGAGACATTCGTTTTTTTTTGGTTAATGTATTTTACTCAGTTTTCTCTGTGCTCTCTTTTTGGAATTCATCATTAGAAGATGTCAGCGCTCCTGGATCGATCCGTGTGAGTTTCTTATTGTGATTGTCCTGTTTTTAAATTTATTTTCCTTTTTGACCTGCTTTCCAGGAGATTTTGTCAATTTTATCTTGCAATGCTTCATTTAAATTTATATTTCTCGTTGCACTTTTTAAAATTTATTTTAAAAAGCTCTTTCTTGTTCCCTACTACCTTTTAAAAACACTGGTTTCCTGGTCTTCACCCATGGAGGCCCTGTTTTTCCTTATCTCAGGGGGTAATTTTGATGTTGTTGTGAATGAACGATTTCTTCTGCTCTCTCGGTTATTGTGGAGTTTTTATCTTCAATGTCAGAGGCTTTTATTCCATGACTGATGATCCTTGGAGTCCATTCCTGGGCTGTTGGGGGCGCTGTGTGGAAAGGCAGGGCGGGCTACCTGTTGGCTCTACTGTAGGGTAGTCCAGAGGGTACTGGCCATTTTCATTGGGGGACCCCAAATACCAGTGCCGTTAGTTGTTTTCTCTTTGGTGGAATATCTTCTACACAGAGGAATCCTTAGTTTTTCTGCCTAGCGTGGGCTGGAGAGGGATATAAACCCGGCTGTTGGTGTTCCGGGAGCTGAGCCAGAACAAGGAGCTGGGGAATCTCATCTTTCAGGATGGAGTCTTTCTCTAATCCTGCTTCTAGCTCCATGCCTAAACCCACGCTCTGCTGAGCCCGCTGCTTCTTAGGCCGGTTTCTCCAAAATATAGGCTTTCCTTCTTCAGTTGGAGGGCTGGAGAGGGGATCTGGAGTGTCTCCCATTGTTGGCCCCTCTGTCCCTCTGTTCTGAGATCCGATGCCCTGGTTCCTGAGACTCTCCTGGCTCTGTGACTTCTTGTTGGCTTCCTGCCGTGGGCACTTGGGCTTCCTCCAGCGGCCTCCAGTTTGCTAAGTCACGTATCGCCCGTCCATTTGCTTTCCCTCTTGCCAAAGAGTGTCGACATCTCTTATCCGCTATTGTTTCCATTCCAGCTCTCTTTGACCTTGTGCTTCATAGCATGTCAATTCTCCTACTGTGATAAGTGCATGTTGTATGAAAGCGGAAATGAATATGGCTTTTCGACTCCCAGGCTTAACCCTAGGTAGATAGCTCTTTCGAGGAGACTGTCGGGCTTGAAATGAGGGGAAACTTGTGACATCTTCTATCTCCTCCCCTAGGTTACCCAAGAGTCAAGAGTGTGGAAATGAGACATTAAATCATTTTAATGGAAGGAAAGGAGGAAAAATATTTCATTTGTTTATTCATCCAGTCTTTCCAAACATTTATTGAGCATTAATAAATAATCTAACCTATGCTAGGGGCCAGGAATATAAGAGCTGAGCAATATTTGCTATCTCCCTTCAAGGAAGTTGTAGTTAATCATAAGGCAGGCAGGCAAGTAAATTAAAAGTCACGATAGTTAATAACATACTATACAGTAATAAGGGTGCGCATATTGCCTTGTGCTCGCCATTTTCATGACGAGGACCTCATTTCATTCTTGTTACCGCTTTTACGTTGGATATCATTAACCATCTTTTGCAGATGAGGAGTTATTAGAGGAGTACAGAACAGGCCATCCAAATCAGCCCAGAGAGGGGGAAGGGCCTCTGGGAGGAGGTGGCCCTGGAGTTAAGTTTTGAAGGATAAGCACAAGTTATGGAGATGAATTTGGGGGAAGGGCATTCCAAGCAGAGGGAACTCCCCGAGTTCTGGCAAGGGGTCTAGAAATAGCACGGCATGCCCGAGGAACCTCACGTAGACTGAAATTGGAGCACATGGGGGCGTGGCCACTGAACTATAAGTATCCTCCTTAGTCCAGATTGTGATTCTGGGCCTACTAAGGAGAGATGCAGAATATGTGATTCCCTCTGTGAATCTGAGCAAATTAAAAAATATTACTTGTAAGATGGAGACGTCATGCGATTATATAAAGAGATGAAATATGTAACCCGGGATTAATGATAGGAATGTAAAATATTCTAGTTCTCTTAGGACAAACCTGCCTCAAATCCTCCTTCCGTGGTCTCTAGTCCCCTGACAGTTACAAAACAGATTCTGGAAAATCTTAACTATTAGGCAAATCTTTTCTCTCTGTCCATTTTGGCCGGGCCAGGATTAATTGAGCAACTTTTAACAGAATATTTTATTTAATCAGCAGATGCAGTATTTATGAGTTCTCGGGGAACTGGGGCATCTTTCCTGTAACGTTTGGGTGGGACCAGGAGCCTTGAGTCCCAGACGCCCCTCCACCACTGACATACGTGTGACCTTGGACGAGGCCCTGCCCTTGCCTGGGCTTTCATTCCCCCACCTGGCAAATGAGAGGAATTAAATTAGATTAGCGTTAAGATTTGTTCCAGCTCAGAAACGGGATGCAGGAAGCTTTGAGCTGTACTGAAGTAATATAAAGAGCAACCTTGGATTTTTGGATTCTATTTTCATATCGTGCTACAGAGGGAAAGGCAATTCCTTTTACATCTTGGCAAGCGAGCAGAAGTGAGATCCTTCTGTCTCCCCACCCTCCTTCCAGCTTCTGACTTTGATTTCCTCACACCCATCTTCAATGAGAAATACTGGCACTGAAAAGCGCACCTCAGCGCGTCCCTCTGGATTCTTAAGCTCTGCTGGAAAACTTGGGGGAGCGGGACTCTTAAAAGCCAGCTGTCGGGAAAACACATCGCCATCGCCTGTCTGTAGAACTTTCCAAAGCCTGAGCCTCGCTGTTTAAATCCCTCCAAGACTGGATCAGCAAACCGCAAGCTTCTGGGTGATACTGTTATTGATGGCAAGTGAGGGTTCGGGTAAATGGTGGGAGTGGGGACTGGCATTTCCTGTTCCTGTCAGGGTTTCTCTAACGGGCCTGAAAGAAGTGCTTTTGAATTCGCTCTGCACAGGCCCTTTTAAAGCTCAGGTCAGTATCCTAGCATCCTGAGCAGCCAGGCAGGACTGGGACTAAGGAACAGGTGAAGAGCACGTGAAGAACTGTGACTGACAACTGTAGGCCTCCCTTGGTCCATTGAACAAGACTTCTCGAAATGAAATGAGCCTTTCTCAAAGCTCCCGACCTCCATATTAATAATGTTCAACTGGCTGATGATGGGCTGCAAGATGCAGTTTCCAGCGCTTTTAGCAATTCCCAGGAGATCGCCTGATGTTTGTACTCTGTCATCGGGTTAAAGCCAATTTTTTAAAAAATGCTTACGACCTGCAGTCTTTGTAGGATTTCAAAGAACGTGCAGACATTTTTTTAAAAAACTATTTTTGCAACATTTTCATTCCATCTTAACTTTCTGTCCCAGGATGATCAGAACGCTCTCGGTGCCAGTGACAGGCGTCTGGTTCCATCTGTCTCACATCTTCCCTCCTACACATTTATTTCATAACTCATTGGGCATTTCTCCTTCTTTTTTCTTTCCCTTTGACCAGCATTTGACACTGAAATCTCTCTGCAGCCCAACCTTCTAATTTATTCCATTATTTCAATAGCGGTTTTCTGAGCACTTACTATGAACTAGGCCCCGACACAATGGTGATGCTATAAAACATAATGGGATTTAAAAAAGTCTTACCTTGAGGTTTCAACCAAATTTTACTTCTTTTTATGGATCTCCTTTTTTCCTTGTGCTTTTCTTCCCTTCTCTCCTCCTCTGCCTTCCCTTCTGTTTCATCTCTCTCTTCCTCTGCGGTTTCCCACTCTTTGGGGAGGGGCAAGATTTCCTGCTTAGAAGTTGGTTGGTTTCTGGGAGGAGTCAGAAGATCTGGTTCAGGACTGGAACCAGCTGGTCTGCCACCTGATACAAGGAGGTGAAACCCAGGTCAAGAAAGACCTTGTGCTGGGACCAAGGTTGCAGCCAGGAGATTCCCGGGAGAGGAGCCCTAAAGGGAAGCCGGAGTAGGCCAATCTTGGACAAGCATCAGGGTTCCCCAGAGGACAGAGGACCTCCGAGGCAGCCCCAGGGCATGAATGGTTGGAAGTGGTCCTGGTTGCCCTGGAGACTTAGCCATTCCTATTGTTAGCTTTAAACATGCCAGAGGCACACCAGGCAGAACCCCTGTCCCACCTTGAGCGCTTGCTCTCAGATTCCTGGCTTTGCCTCAAAGAAAAGTATTGAAACAAGAATTGAACAGATTTTCCCCTCCCACAAAGGGAGACTCCAGTGATCCAGTGTTCTCTGTGTAAGAGTTAAGAAGTCTTTTCCATCAGAGTTATAGCTTAGATATTAACTCCCCCTATCTCCTGGCAGGTAGTTAACAATCTAATAAGTAACCAGAAGTGTAAACATTCCTGAAGAAGAGGTCATTTTTCCCACTCCCCTACAGACATCCGGTCTCCTTCCTTGTAGCCTGCCTTTCTGCCTTTCTCTGCTTACACATTGGCCCTAGACTGTGAAGCCATGCCCTTCAGACAATCGGGGTGCAGTAACTCCTCAGGGAATAGAGCAGTGATGGCGAACCTTTTGAGCTCGGCGTGTCAGCATTTTGAAAAACCCTAACTTAACTCTGGTGCTGTGTCACATATAGAAATTTTTTGATATTTGCCGCCATAGTAAAACAAAGACTTATATTTTTGATATTTATTTTATATATTTAAATGCCATTTAACAAAGAAAAGTCAATCAAAAAAATGAGTTCGCGTGCACCTCTGACACGCGTGTCATAGGTTCTCCATCACTGGAATAGATAAAAATGAGAGCGGAATCCTCATTGTGTGTGCCTGCCTGCCCTATTGTTGCTAATGGCAGTGCATACTTTTGCACAAAAGTAAGTCTGCCTTGCCGACCCATTTTCGAGTGTTTGTCTCATTCCCCCAACACCATTGAAGAGCATTTCTACACATTTCTCAATTACAAACCCCTTAAGCAATAACCTAGGTGACTTATAAACCATTAGGGTGATCCCATCAACAGGAACATGGATGGTAGAGGCACCTGCAAGAGGATCCAGGTAGGGACAATAATTGCAGCCTGATTTACACTGATTAGTGATGGAGCATCATACCCAATTCAGAGGCGTTCATTCTTTTGGACTAAGGCAGTGGTTGGCAAACCGCGGCTCCAGAGCCACATGTGGCTCTTTGGCCCCTTGAGTGTGGCTCTTCCACAAAATACCACGTGCGGGCGTGCACATACAGTGTGATTGAAACTTTGTGGCCCATGCGCAGAAGTCGGTTTTGGGCCTGGGCGAGTCTATTTTGAAGAAGTGGCGTTGGAAGAAGTGGGGGGTGTCGGTCAGTCGGGGAACGGGAGACCCTGCGCAGTGGGCCATGGGATACGCAGAGCACAGAGCGGGGAAGGAACATTGTTTTGAGGTCCATTCACTGAGGTCAACCCCTTCCAACTCTCCCATCCACTCTCATTTTGTATGCTTGTTTCAGATAGACGAGTGTGGATGGGAGAGTTGGAAGGGGTCGACCTCAGCAAACTACCTCAATCAGATTGAGGACGTTTTTAACAAAGGCCAGTTATTAATTAAGTTAATAACAATGTACCTACCTATATAGTTTAAGTTTAAAAAATTTGGCTCTCAAAAGAAATTTCAATCGTTGTACTGTTGATATTTGGCTCTGTTGACTAATGAGTTTGCCAACCACTGGACTAAGGCATAGACAATAGTATGTCCACAAAGAGGCCATTCTCTTCACCCATTTATGTATTCACCATTCAACAAAGAGTTAATGAGCACCTAGTCCATGCCAGGCACTGGCACAGGAGCCGGGAATAGAGTGATGAGCCAAACTAGGCATAGCTCTACCCTGATGGTGAGTATAATTGATGTGGTTGCACACTGGTCTCTCTGAGGTTTGGGGACTTCAATTTAGAGGAAGGGTTGAAGTTGTTGGGTGCCAATGTCTCCTTTGGAGCAGCATCACTGGACAGATTTTAGATGGTCATCTTTCTGTTTCTTAGTCAAAAGGGACATTGGTTCTTCCAATGGCCCTTCTGCTTATACAGCAGTCCTCGGGTGACGTTGGTCGGTCCGTGGTTATGTCGCCATCTTCCATTTATTTATAGAAAAAAAAAAAGTTCCGTCATTTCGAGGTATGTACATATGTGCTTTATGTTTTTTATTATTTATTTATTTACCACAAGTAAAGGTCAGGAATTGTTATCTTTCTTTTC